CGGTGGTTTGCAAAGATAACACAAGCTGTCGTTCCCCATGGGAGCTCTCATCGGACACAAAGGCGTGGCACATGGGACGAGGCCATGGGCGCAGGGATAACACATGTCGTTGACAGCAGGGCTGTTGCGACACCGTGGCGTTTGCCAGGTGTCAGCGTCGGGTGCAAGGGCAGACTCTCGAATAGCTTGGGTGCCACTTCGTGGCGGTTGGTTGGCGTAACATGTTTGGCAATATCCCGCTGTGCCCGGGATGGATCGTCGAAAACACTTGTTGTGGCATGGGAACTAGCCCGCGGCACACAAACGACAACGGCGATCGGCGTTCGAGGGCGATTTCTCTGTGCACCACGGGGTGACGCACTGGATGTTGGAATCGGGATTGAAAGGGCAAGCTCCGGAAGCCGATCTGCAAGCCAATCGTTTCCCAAGACCTGCTGGCACGTGCTGCGGGCATCCGACCAAAGCGAATTTGCATGGGACATGGCCGTCAGAACATCGATAAAATTTACCGCCGCTGCGGCGCAGGGCCAAAAGCCGGCAACCAGCCTCGGCGTTGCGACAGAAGGACCACTCGCGCGAGACATTCTGGCTGGGATCTGCGTAGTGCGTGGCGCACACGGTCGGCGCGGCCAAGATTTGCCAAGCCGGCAGGACTGTCTGGAAGAATGCTGGTAGCTACTGGGCAGGAGTAGACAGGCAGCTTTCATTGTGGTGGCAGCAGCAGGCTTCATCATTTCTTCTACAGTGCGCGATGTGATGCTTAACTACCAGACTGGGCATAATGCGCGGGAACGCCGATCAAGAAACACTGCCACTGTCGAGATGCGGCCCGCGAGGCTTCGAAGGCGCAGATCGCCAAAATCTGTTCCACATCCTGAAGTTGTGCGTAGTGAGGAGAAGCGTGCAAGGAATCACACAGCAACGCTGTTACAGACGCAGTCTCAAATCCGTGGACGTGCGCGATCGGCAGCAATGCTATCTAACGACCTCCTGCAGAAGGTGCGCGAATCAGGAAAGCGGCAGTAGTAAATACGCCTTCTACCGTGCAGTGCGGAGCGTACGGATGGCACAAGCGTTCTTGGATGTCTTCTGCCGTTAAAGGAAAAGTCGCAACGTTCTGGCGGGTGAAATTGCATGTAAGAATTGCGATATCATAGTTGCTTCCGCCGGGTTCGAGGAGGTTCGCATGAGCGTCCCCGAGGCGTGCTGTGAGAGCTGCGTGTTCGAACTGTGCTTTGGCAAGCGTGGACTGCGGCTGCGATCGAATTTTGCTCACAGGAACCATGCAGTGATTGAATGCACGGAGGCCGCAAGTTACGCCATAGGAATGGCACGATTTTTGTTTCTTGGACCTCTCTTGGGGTGCCTCTCGGAACGTCTTGGGCTGTTTTGGAAGCCTTTTGGCGCCTCTGGGCGGCGTTTTGGCGCCTCCTGGGATATGTTGGGCCGGAAGCTCGGAATTCGAGAGTGGCTTTCTCCTTCTGGGACCCCTCTCGAAGTCGTCTTGGGGTTCTCTTGGGCCGTCTTGGGGCCGTCCTGAGCCACTCGTGCGCAGCCTTGGAGCGCTCCCGGAGGCCTCCTAGGCCGTCTTGGAGGCCTCTTGGGCCGTCTTGGACGCGGTGAAAGCCCAAGATGCGAACATGCGAAAAATCCCACCAGCCCTTTAGGGCGTAGGTGGTCTAGGGAGTTTCCTCTGCCAACCCCCTTCTTCCCCTTCGGGGAGGGGTTTACCCCTCCCCTTACCCCTCCCCACTGACCTGGACGGGGCCGGTCGCGAGGTGTCAGAGCGTCCAAGATGGCCCAAGACAGCTCCAAGAGCGAACGAGCGAGAAAACACAAAACATTGATTTTACCTAGGTTTTGGAAGGATTTTGGCATCTTGGGGGGGCCCAAGAGGCGACTCGAGGCACTCTGGAGGGGCGGGGCTAATAAGCAACCCCCCCTTCTTTGATAGATCTCCTCCAAGATGGCCCAAAGAGCGCCCCGAAGGCTCCCAAGAGCGCCCCAAGAGCGCCTCAAGAGGGCCCCAAGAGACCCCAAGAGGCCCCCAAGAAGCCTCCAAGAGGCTGCCAAGAGACCCCCAAGAGGCCCCAAGAGAGTCCAAGATGGCCCAAGACGGCTCCAAGAGCGAAAAGGCGAGAAAACAGAAAACATTGATTTTACTAGGTTTTGGAAGGATTTTGGCCTCTTGGGGGGCCCAAGAGGCGACTCGAGGCACTCTAGAGGGGCAACGCTAATTGGGGACCCCCTCTTCTCTGATCGATCTCCTGCAAGATGGCCCCAAGAGCGCCCCGAAGGCTCCCAAGAGCGCCCCAAGAGCGCCCCGAGAGCGCCCCAAGAGGCCCCAAGAGGCGCCCAAGAGGCCTCCAAAAGGCTCCCAAGAGACCCCCAAGAGGCCCAAGAGGCTCCCAAGACGGGTCCAAGAGCGAAAAGGCGAGAAAACAAAAAACATTGATTTTACCTAGGTTTTGGAAGGATTTTGGCCTCTTGGGGGGGCCCAAGAGGCGACTCGAGGCACTCTAGAGGAGCAGCGCTAATTGGGGACCCCCCCTTCTTTGATAGATCTCCTCCAAGATGGCCCCAAGAGCGCCTCGAAGGCTCCCAAGAGCGCCCCAAGAGCGCCCCAAGAGGGCCCCAAGAGGCCCCAAGAGGCCCCCAAGAGGCCTCCAAGAGGCCCCCAAGAGACCCCCAAGAGGCCACAAGAGGCTCCCCGAGATACGCAAGAGGCCCCCGGGACCGCCAAGAGGCCCCAAGGACGGCCCAAGAGGCCCCCAAGCTCGCAATTGTCCTCCTCCTCCTCCTCCTCCTCCTCCTCTTCCTCCTCCTCTCCTCCTTCCTCCTCCCTCCTCCCCCTCCCCCTCCTCCTCCTCCTCCTCCTCCTCCTTCCTTTTCCTCCTTCTCGTCCTCCTCGTCCTCGCAGTCCTCCATCTCCTCCTCCTTCTATTCCTCCTCCTCCTCCTCCTGCTCCTCCTCCTGCTCCTCCTCTTCCTCCTCCTACTCCGACGACGACGGCTCCTCCTACATCCTCCCCCTCTTGGGGTATATGGCGGCTCACCCCGCCCTTTGTTCTTCTGCATGCTCCCCCGCTTCCCTCATAACCTCCACTCCCCTGGGACTCATTTCTGGACGGGCTGGTGGGGATACGCGAAGCGTCTAGAATATACGTTTTCCCATAGGAATGGCACGATTTTTGTTTCTTGGACCTCTCTTGGGGTGCCTCTCGGAACGTCTTGGGGTGCTTTTGGGAGCCTTTTGGCGCCTCTTGGCGGCATTTTGGCGCCTCCTGGAGCCTCTTGGGCCGGAAGCTCGGAATTCGAGGTTGGCTTTCTCCGTCTGGGACCCCTCTCGAACTCGTCTTGGGGCTCTCTTCGGCCGTCTTGGGGCCGTCCTGGGCCACTCGTGCGCAGCCTTGGAGCGCTCCCGGAGGCCTCGTAGACCGTCTTGGGCGCCTCTTGGGCCGTCTTGGACGCGGTGAAAGCCCAAGAGGCGAACATGCGAAAAATATACGTTTTCCCATAGGAATGGCACGATTTTTGCTTCTTGGGCCTCTCTTGGGCTGCCTCTCGGAGCGTCTTGGAGGCTTCTGGGACCTTCTTGGTGTCATGACAGGCGTCTTGGAAGGCATCTGGAGCCATCGGAGCGCGTTTCGAAGCCGCCTGCGAACGATCTTGGACGGCGTCCGGCGGTCCGACGAGCCTCCGGGCCCCCCGGAGCCCACATTTGTGGTCGAGGTCCCGGCCCCGGGCCCCCGGACCCGGTGCGCCGTTATATGTATACACACACACACACACACACACACACACACACGCGGCCCTGGCCCGGGTCGATGTGCGGTGGGCGACCCCTGCGACGCGCGACGCCCGACATATACACCCGGCCCTGGCCAGGGTCGCTGTGCTGCGGGCGACCCCTGCGACGCGCGGCACGCTCTGCTTGCCAAGCGGACGGCGTGTCGCTCTGCCTCCTGGGACGGGAGGCCAGGAAGGCGTTTCGCAGATATCGGCCCCTAGGGGCCCTCGCCGGGCCTCGGGGCCGTCAAAAAACGACTCAGGATGAAAAACCAGTCCTGTTGGAGGCCTGGAAATTGGCACCAACACCATCCCACGGGGTTGCCCCCACAGGGGGAAGATGATCCTAGATTTCGGTGTTGGTGGCAATATTTCGAGCACCTTGGAAGCCAGAATATTACCACCATCACCGAGATCGGGATCGTCTTCCCTCGGTGGAGGCACACCGCCGATCTTGGTGTTGGTGTCAACCTCTAGGCCTGCGATCCTAGACTGCTGGGGACCGCGCATAAAAGAAACCACGACGTCGAATCCGTGGGGACGGGGACGTGCCGAGCCCGTCGCGCGCCGAAGAGCGTGGAAGGCCAGAGCCCGGCGGCGCGGCACGCCGACCGGCCCTTCCTGACCGCAGGTGTACAGTCGGGGCGTTGACCTAAGGAATCCCAAATAAGGAACGAGGCCCCTATTTTCCCAGAAGTGAACCTTCGATTTCCTGTCGAAAACCTAAGGACAGGGCGTTGACCTAAGGAATCCTAAATAAGGAACGAGGCCCCTTTTTTCCATAAGTTAAACTTCGATCTCCTATCGACAACATAAGGAAGAAAATCTGAGGCAAGCTGTGAAACACTTCAGGAACGCGGAGCCCCTCCCCAACCAAAAGGGTTCCTTCTTCAGGGCCCCGACTGTACAGTCCTCGTCGCCCGATGGTGTCATTGCACCGGCCTTGCAGACATGCTGCAGCGGATTCTGCGTGGATTTCTGCGTGGATGTTTGCCCGAAGCGGCGAGCGAAAAACGAAGTGAGTTTCACGTGGATTGTGTGTTGTGTCTTCACTCCTAGCCAAAAAAGCTCCGCACGAAATTCACCTCAAAATTCGGAACGAAATTCTCCGGGACACTCCGGGCCCATCCTTCGTTTTCCGAACAAGATCCGCTCTGCGATGTTGCCGCCATGAATAGTGGTGTTGGTGGGTACTTTTCCCCCCCCCCGCACCCCGTAATACGGCCGCGGCATGGCTGTCACGGCGATGTACCCCCCGGGCTCCAGAGCCGCGTCGACCTGCATCCGGCCGGCGCCGGCCACCTCCAGCACCACTTTCCTCGGATCGGGCGAAAGGGGGGGATAGTAAAGGGGGGGTTTGAGAATCAGCTCACGTAGCTGATTCTCCCGGCGCCTCCCGGCGCCGGAGGCGGCTATGCATCGAGGAGTGGGCCCCTCGGTGAGGCCGAAACCAGCTGCATGCCGCAAATTTCGTACCCCCCCCTTTCCCAATCCCCCCCTTTCGTCCGGCCCAAGAGGAGGAGGAGGAGGAGGAGGAGGAGGAGGAGGAGGAGGAGGAGGAGGAGGATCGAGCGAGGATCGGCTTTCGCCCCGCCCGATTTCCCCGGCGCGACGCTCAGCTTCATCCTGAGCTCCCTGGTCGCCTTGCCCGACGCCTCCAGCAGCACCTCGTAGAGCCCCAGGCCGCCGTCCGCCGAGAGGACGTCCGTGCGCGTCACGCGCCGCCCCGCCCCGTCGTTGGCGAGCACGTTCGCCATCGGGGACCCGGCGTCGAAGTAGAAGAAGACCCCGAGGCCGCGGTACGCCTCCTTGGAAGGGGCCCCAGGACACACAAAGAAAAGTGCGCACAACTAAGAAGAGATCCCCCCCCTATTTTCCCATGTGTCTTCTGGGCGTTTGGGTCTTCCCCCCCACCTCCCATATATTTTCCCCTGTTTTCCTGGGGGCTCCACGATTCCTTGTGGCTGTGTCTTTTCCCCTCCTGACTCCTTGTACCCAAACAGGTCGAGCTGCCCGCCCGTGACCGCCTGGATCTGCTGGGCCGTGGCCGCCTGGGGAGGAGGGGCTGGAGGGCGGAGACCGCGGCCGAGGCGGAGCGCGGACACGTCGGCGTCGATCGTGATCCTCGTCCACCCTGGTCATCGTCCGCTCTGGAGGAGGGGCTGGAGGGCGGAGACCACGGCCGAGACGGAGCGCGGACACGTCGGCGTCGATCGTGGTCCTCGTCCACCCTGGTCATCGTCCGCTCTGGGGGGCAACGATTGGGGGGGGGACTGGCGTCGGGGGGGCGCATCGACCTGCAATCGGCGATGCGTCGACGATGGATCGGCGATGGGCCTCTGATGGTGAGCCCGCGCCTTCCTGGGCAGGTCGGGGCTATCTGGCCCCTATCGGCGATCAGTGAGCCCTTCGGGGTCGATGCATCCCCCCCATATGCCTATCCCCCCCTATCGTTGCCCCTGATGCTCGTGGAGCATCCTCGCAGATCGGCAACGGCCGGCATGGACCATGACCAAGCATCGGCGCCGACGGGCTCCCGCGAAGCAGCTCGGCCACGGCCACCGTGCTTCTGGCCTCGAGCCTGGAGCTGCTTGACGCCGTCGTCGTGCACGTACCACAGCGCGAAGCCATCCTCCACGTCGCTGTACTCCTCGATCTCCACTCTGGCTCGGGGGCGGCCACGAGGGGGGTGTCCCAGAGGGGGGAGCGCAGGGGGGGGCTGAGGGGGCCAGGGACGCAGTGAAATAAGAAGAGGCGCCATGAAGTCTTAGGAAATCCCATGGCCCACGCCATGATATCCGCCCCACCCCCCAGTCATCACCCCCCCTTGGCCGCCCCCGACTGGCCACCGCCGAGACCTCGAAGGTCTCGGCGTAGACCGGGAACTTGCTCCACAGCGCGCTGGCCTGGCCTGCCTTCCGAGGAGCGTCGGAGGGGGGCCAGCGGAGAGGCGGTGGCCGTGGGCCCTCTCCCGAGCGGAAGGACGAGGGAGGAGGAAAACGAGGCGGGAGGAAGGGAGAGGGAGAGACAATGTCGGTGAGCCCTCACACTCTTTCAGACATCGTGCCCCTCCCTCCCATCCCTTACCCATGGAGACGAGACCCCTCTACTCGCAGGAAGTCGGACGTCGAAGCAGGCATGGATCCCAAAAGGGTACCCCACAGCCTTCAATAAGCACCCCCCCGTGCCAACCTGTCCGACGCCCATTGCCCGCCCCCCCGCGCGCCCCAAACCCACCCCTCTCGCTCCCCAACCTCCCCACGCCCCCCGAAGGACAGCGGTTTCCCACCCCCCCACGCGATCCACCCCCCCGCGCTTATTGAGAGACCTGGAGTAACCGAAATCCTTTCTTCAAGAATAACCTGAATCCTTGAACGCGGCAGGCGCTCCCGAGCGGGGACGCAGCTTATTTATATTTATATATATATATATATATATACTAGAACCATCGCGCGCGCTTCGCGCGCGCTCAAGTTCTAGCTAGGATAGTCGTCATCGTCATCATCGCCATCCTCATCACCATCATATCCGGCGTCATCGTCAGCGGCATCGTCATCATCACCATGACCATCACCATCATCACAATCGTCACCATCACCACCATCAGCAGCAACATCGTCATCACCATCGTCAACATCGCCATCGTCGTCATCATCGTCAATATCGTCACCTGAATTATCAACATAATCATCCTCATCATCGCCATCGTCAT